TTTATATTTGGAGAAATCAATCTAAATGAATGACATACTTTATCATGGTCACTTTTTCTTACCTACACGTTGTCGTTTTCAAATTTGAAATCGGACGTTTCTTCTTCCAGAAACCATCATCTTATCTATTATCTTTTTCAAATACACACCTGCATATGTTATTCAATTGGTTTACAACTTTTGGATATCCCAAAAGCTATGATGAGTATTCACAAATTATCTTCTTCGCATGTTTTATATCGAAGACTGGGACCTTTGACACGATAATACACTACACTGTTTTACCACTAACCAAACCGATTTTTTAACGCCTCGACACGTATTTCGCTAGCTATGTTAGCATCTTCAGGAGAAGATTAAAACTAAATATCCTATTCTAGTGTGCTGCTTATATACTAGGTATATGTTCACACAACGGTGAAAAATACTAACCGTCAAGTTAATGTTTCGTCATGGTTGAGTTCACATGTTAATCCAAATTTTTATATTACTAGACTATATAGAGGGCTATATGGAATAGGTCCATTATCCTTATTCATTACTCTATTACTATTCTTAAATGTCTCTAAGCTTTCATATGCGTCTAGTTTTCTAATGTACTATTAACTTGCTTAACTAATTTGAGATTAGTAATATGTGTGTTATGATTGTGATTGAACATATGTTCGGCTACACAAGATTTATCTAACCTGCCATATTTTAAATGGGCTATGTGTTCTTTGAACCTTGTTTTTATGGGTCGCCTGGTTTGGCCTATCCCAGTTAACACAAACATCTATGAGATGTCGCATTCATGGCAGTTGATGTCACAAAAGCGAATCACAATATTGCATCGCTGATATCTACAAGGAATTCCTTGTGTGACAGATAGTTCACAAATTTCATCACATTCTGTTGAATCTGAGACCAATATGGATATAATATTTATGACGCCCCTCAACTTCACAAAGACTATAATTTGAGAATCTGAAATTTCAGTAGTTGAGAGTCACAATTTGATGTATCTGAAACGACAAACTGATTCACATTGTGCGGAATGAAAAAACGAAGATATGCTTCAATTTGTGAATCTCTCTCACATCTCAAGGAAATTCATTTATGAAAGTAATATCCAACGATACTCACATACTCATGAATGTAGCGCACAATGTGACTTATGTTAAGATTCGTACACACTCGGCCGATGTCGGTCTGACTGATGTACACGTGTCTGTGAATTCTTTAGCGACGGCATATGCTTCTGTCTCATCCATTTCGTTTCAGTTCATTCGGTGTCAGGGTGTTAGTATGCAGTTCGTGTTTGGTATTATTGCTCATACTGAAGCATCTCTTTCTAATCGTAAATCATGATTGTGATCAAAGATACTGTGTGTTTCTCATCTAAGTTACAGGGTAAGTAACTATACAATGTGCATAACTTGTTATAATAATATACCTATACTGGTTGACAATGAAGACAGGGTAGACGACACTACGTCGCCATTTCAAGACTTTATGATGATACTAACAATGATACCTAGGGATATATCATTTTGGCATCAGGGTATAAGTGAAAATGCCTCGGAAAATGAATATTCTCATTGTATATTAGGGAAGTCTGATTGAGAACAAGATTAGTGCGAAATATTATGAATGGAAGGAAAACATTCGCCGCAGCTATTCTCTATCTTCTTTGTCACCCGGTATAAAACAGTAGGTATGCAGTGTGATTTCATCCTTTTATAAACAAATTCAATCTCACACTACTCCATGTAGATATGAAAGTGACTCGAACATTTTTCAATACTCTCATTATGGTTCTCTATACTCACTCTCTATAAGATATTCCCAGCAGGAAATGGGCAGAATAAAATCAATTGATCGTTTCCATATTCATTTTCAGATGCCAAATCACAAGACATCTGGACGACCTTGGAACAATTTGAAATTCTGAGCAGGGATTGGTTACCATGCTACAACGGAAGGCGCGATGGGGAGCAAATATTGGATTCTTTTGGCGACATCATGTCATTGTGTTCTCATATTTGGATTGATATCAATCAAGTTGATTTTGTTGACTATTATACAGGGTATATCTCCATGAGTTAACGCGATCTATATATGGAGAAATAAAAGTATCACGATTCTGAAAAATTGTAGGCATGGTAAAAGAAACATGGAGAATCCGCATCTAAAATATTGTCGTTATTGTCAGGCTTCTGATTTTTCCGGAAGTGACGTCATCTTCGTTATTTTCAATGGAACACCCTGTATTGTTCAACATTTTCGAATTCCTCCCAAGATTTTGATTCAAGTTATCGTATCATACCCTATACAGTGTGTCCCACTTACCATGCTCACCATGGGTATCTTTTTAACGTTGAGAGATACCTGAAATGAACTGTTTTTGAATTATTCGAGTTTTTCCTGAAAAACTGACAAACGCAGCCTATCGAACATAGGCAATTTTTATATGAATTGAAAGTTTCAGTGTTATGCCATGATTAATTCGAGAATATTGAAGGTTGAACGGATAACTGACCGAGATCACCACCACCGAAGAATTTACATGGTGCGCAGAAAAGTGGATCCAAAAAGTGAATCTGAAACATTGAACATTTTTTCGAATGAAAACCCCATTTCTTCTTAGCATAATCACAGAATCAATTCTATAATGAAAATAAGCCCTAGTTTGAATTTCCCCTTCCTATTGAAATTTTCAATTCAATGTTTCACATTCAGTTTCTGGACCCACTTTTCTGCGCACCCTGTAAATTATTATGATCATTGTGGGAGATCCGTTCAACCTTCAATATTCATCACGATTCAATCACTGCATATCACTAAAAATTTATTTTCGATTTTCCAGAAAAACTCTAATAACTCAAAAACGCCTCATTTCAGGTAGAGGGTATGATACATAAATTTGAATCAAAACCATGAGAGGAATACAAAAATGTTGGGAAATTCACGGTGTTCCATGGAAAATAACAGAAGATAGCGTCACTTCCGGTAATACGTACAGAGAGCTTCACAATAACGAAAATATCTTGGTTGGATTCTTCATGTTTCCTCCACCGATTCTACGAATTTTCAGAATTGTGGCACTTTCAGTTCTCCATATACATCGCGTTAACTCATGGAGATTTATACCCTGTATAATTATTCGATCTAGGCCTGCGCTGTTTTTCCTATTTCAATCATTGTTATATCTAGGTAGATTTGCTCGATTCAACATGTAGGTACGTCGTACTAAGCTATTCTGATGTGTAATGAGATTGATTTTCAATAAAATCGAGTTGCCTTGTGAAACCTTTGATTGATCTAATTGACAGAGATTCGAGACCGATAAGTCCTCTCATTGAATACCTTCATCAATCTAGATGTGATTTCACTTGAGATATCAACAATAAATGTGTATGTAGCATTTCTGGGACGCACAATATGATTCTTCCAGGGACGCTACGATACCAGTATAATAATCAAAAAGAACCTCACATTCAGAAATGGTCGATGGTCTTCTGAACCTCACATTCTGATTATAATGTAACCTCAATGTGAGTCTAATTTCTACGTGAAATCTGGAGTCACATTCAGCTAACTTTGAGGCCCATTCAGCATCTAAATGTGAAGCTAAAAATGACCAAAAGGGTCCGAAATAGAGGATCTGGAGATGTCGGTGGAATTCACAAAACGAATCACAGGTGTGATATCAGTCATGAATGTGAAGCGTACTGACATCTCTGAGATCAATTTGTGTTTACTGGGATATATGTTTTATCACAATCACTACAACTTATTTCGTATATTCCCGACTTTTCAAGTGTGTCCACTTTATCTTTCGGATTGCCTAATAAATTGCCTAATTTTGACCCAGACTGATAAATGCTTTCAAAACCTAAGTCTTTGAAAACCTTATCAAGTCGCATGTTTAGTTTACACAAATTGACAATTTCTGTATTTTTTTATCATTCAATTCGAAACATATTCGAAAATAAGAATTTGTGTGTGCTCATATAGCTTATTTTGGTATATCCAAAGGTGTGTAAAAATGTGATAAAGAATTCAAGTCTGTATTTATAAAAAAATAAGTTGAAGATGGTTTCTGGAAGACGAAACGTCGGATTACAAATTCGAAAACGGCGCCAACTAGCAGGGAAGAAAAAGTGGCCATAATAAAGTGACATTCATTTCTATTAATTTCTTCAAAGTAATTGAAAAAAATATTAAACGGCGGGTTTTAGGAAATTTCGGATTTTTTTTAGGATGTCCCCGAAAGTATTCGGAATTTTTCTAGTTTCAAAACGGCATTTTGTTAGGCATAAAACTTTGCCATAATTCAACCGACCCTGTATCTCACGGTTCACGAGATCCCAATGATGAGGCTCTAATAACTTCCAGCCACCCTGTACATAATAAATGAATAGTTTGTTACAAAATTGTTCAGCGCACGCCTATGTGCATGTACTCTCATTATTCGCATGAAAATCCATATAAAAATGTTATATATAACTACATGCTCAGTAGATAAGCACCTTTTTGTATAGATATCGATAAAAACAAGACAAAAACCATCGATTGTAATTAACCTAGTAGATACCTATAGAATATCAGGAAACGAGATTAGAAAAAAAAAATAGGGTATTCATTACAGCCAAGACCGATGGTTTTAAGTTTCGAAACAAGAAAACTAGTATTAAAATGAGGAGTTAGAAGGTTTCTTTAAATCCTCTTACAAATACGCCTTATCACTCATAGTATACACAGACGCTCTTCTCCTTATCAGTTATAATTATCAATGGTGCCTGTTAATTGGGATACGTCTTTAAACTTTTAAACCAGTGTTTTATTTACTTCTTCCTCAAGGAATTATCTGTGTAACTCTGTAGAGTGCGTGTGACACGTTTTATTTGAATCAGTTTGTTTTATTGTGAAAGAATCTAAGTGGAATTTATCTTAGTGTGTACCTGATGTGTTTATTGTTCGGTGATACTTAGTGATAAGTGGAAATACAGTTTGAAATGTCAAATGCTAACCAGTCCAGTATTCAAACGAGAGATCACTTGTACAAGATATTAGTGATTGGTGATTTGGGCAGTGGAAAAACGTCAATCATCAAACGATATGTGCACAGATTTTTCTCACAGCATTATAGAGCCACGATTGGGGTCGATTTTGCTTTGAAGGTAGGTGGTAGATATACAGTGTGTCCCACTTACCATGCTCACCATGGGTATCTTTTTAACGGTGAGAGATACGAGGTCGGCTAAATGACACCAAATGTGGAGTTTGTCAAGGCCAACTATAATGTGAAAAAATATTTTGATAAAATCTATTCGTTTTTGTTTTATACGCAAAAAACAGATTTTTATCATTTTCATGTCTCCTCCGTAACTTCTTTGTTTATGAAAATATTCAAATAGGAATTTCACATTCTCATGGCAAATTTTCAAAGTGATTTCGAAAAAAATATGAAATTTATACCAACTCTTCTAGAATTTAAGATATCAGCACTAACTTTAGTTTTTCAAATGTATAGGTCATAGCTCACTATGACTTAGTGCAAATAACTTTTTTTTCTCTTTCAGATGATATGTCACAGTAATAGTTTTGTGTTGATAACAACGGAGTTATCGTCATTTATACAAAAACAAAAAATTATTTGGAAGCCGCCATCTTGAATTTATGAATTTAAACAGAAAAATCATGATATCCGACCTCAAAAACCCCCGCTTACCAATTTTGAATGGAATCGGACCAAATCTTGTCCGCCATCTTGGAGCAGCCATTTTTTTTAATTTCAACAAAAATTCCATAATGTATTGTCACCGAAATTATGAACACCTGCCAAATTTCAAGTTGATCGGAGTTATGGAATTTTTGTTAAAATTAAAAAAAATGGCTGCTACAAGATGGCGGACAAGATTTGGTCCGATTCCATTCAAAATTGGTAAGTGGGGGTTTTTGAGGTCGGAGATCATGATTTTTTTGTTAAAATCTATGAATTCAAGATGGCGGCTTCCAAATAATTTTTTGTTTTTGTATAAATGACGATAACTCCGTTGTTATCAACACAAAACTATTACTGTGACATATCATCTGAAAGAGAAAAAAAAGTTATTTGTAACTAAGTCATAGTGAGCTATGACCTACATTTGGAAAACTGAAGTTAGTGCTGATATCTCAAATTCTAGAAGAGTAGGTATAAATTTCATATTTTTTTCGAAATCACTTTGAAAAACTGCCATGAGAATGTGAAATTCCTATTTGACTATTCTCATAAATAAAGAAGTTACGGAGGAGACATGAAAATGATCAAAATCTGTTTTTTGCGTATAAAACAAAAACGAATAGATTTTATCAAAATATTTTTTCACATTATAGTTGGCCTTGACAAACTCCACATTCGGTGTCATTTAACCGACCTCGTATCTCTCACCGTTAAAAAGATACCCATGGTGAGCATGGTAAGTGGGACATACTGTATATAGGGTGTCCCGAAATTAGCCTGCCATACTTCATCAGTAGCAGATTCTTCGACGGCTGCAAATTTCGACCGTCATCTGATAACGAAATGATATACAGGGTGTCCCGAAATCGCTGGGACACAAAGCTACCACGTGTAGAGGAGGTCAAAATAAGTTGATTGGACCCAATTTATTTATGTGGCAAAATGTACCATTTGTCCGTGAGAAGGGTTCAAAGTTCACATAAAAAAACACATTTTTGTACGCTGTTCAGAAATAAGTGAAACGACGACTTGGATGAAATTTGGCAATAGTGTATTTCAGAGCAGGATTACTTTCCTTTTGGTAATCGAAGAAACCTGAAAGAAGTTGTAGAAGGGTTAAAACCACCCACACCCCCTGACATTTTTTTCAGATTTTTCTCAGGGGTCATAATACGGTTCTGAAATTTTTTGAGCTTGCAAACTAATCAATTACCTTCATTTTATGACTCGTGTAAAAATTACGTGTACCGCATAGTTTCGAAGAAAAAAAATGTTCTCTCAAATAATGCTACCAGATATTATAGTACAAGTTTAATTAAATTGTGATATAAAACTTGGCAGTGGAAACGAAGGCAAGGCGTGATTTTGACAGGAAACAAATCTATTGTCATTCAAGTGTGTTGTTGACGTTGTCTGGTAAATGTTTCAATAAATTCTTCAATTTTTGTTATTATCGCGAGTACCATTACCGATCATTTATCACTATGTATTTGTTGTTGATGTTGGTACTCACACTCAAAAGGTTCAATAGATTCTCCAAACGAATCACATCACGTGCATTCATAGAATGAACGCAATACAATCAAATAATTGTCTGGAAGTCGTAAGGAAGGGTGAAGGGAAAAAACTAGGAACGTCACAATAACTTTGTTTTGAGATAATCGCATTTTACCAATTAAACATCGGATTACTTCCAAACTATTAATGTTAAAATAATGACGTGATTCGATATATAAAGTAAAAGTATATTCTCATATATTTCATGAAAATTGAAACAAACAACTGTATTCGTTATGCAGAAGTAAATAATAAATTCTCACAAGAACATATTAATTTGGAAAAAAACGAGGAATGTCATACACAATCTGGAGGAAATAACAAGTAACCCAATGTTATCATTGATAAGGTAATTCTGTGAAGTAAATCTGTGGTTCAGGGCCACAAAATCTTTTCAGAGTCATCAAATTTTTGAATTTTTTTGCTGGAACTGGCAATGAATCTAGAATAAAAATTCAGAATGCATAAAAAAGCGTTACTTGAGATTAAAATCGAATTCACCTCTGTATGCTGGCAATGGAAGTTTGAATTCACCTTCTCGCAGATCATTGCTGACTTCAACGCGTTTCTTGGGAACTGTGATAGGCTTTTGCTCCCAGTTACCATGGTATGAAATTCTATAACTCATCAATCTCGAATGTTCCTGAGTTGTTTCGATTTCCCTGATAGTTTGTACTGGAAATGGACATTTTTTGACATATTGTTTACTGAAAAATGTATCCCACTATTGATGAATCACGTTGATTTCCGGGCGGACATTCCCTGTTTTTAACCGTTCTACGATATTTCAAGGCATGTTTACTGATAGACTATACGAGTTTTTAGCAGACTTATGGGTAGAGAATATCAAGAACGAGTCTGTCTTCGTAAAGCAATGCATATCTCAATTTCTGTAAAAAATATGACATTCCTTGTTTTTTCCCTTCACCCTTCAAGTATATAAATTCTAATCCACATATTGAGTTCGACACTGGTCCATCGGATATTATCTTCAGAAAGTCTCGAAAGTATTGATACGCTCTGCCACAAACTTAGATCCTCGCTTAGATCAGTTTGAATCGCGGCACGTTGGATATTCGCAAAGGGGACACTATCCCTTTTCATTTGCTTTTTGTTTCAACTCGTTATCACATGACGGAAAGTATGTTCGCAATAAGCAAATTTCAACCATTTAAATCTCCAGGAGAGGATGGAATCTACCCCATCCTACTCCAAAAGGGGCAGGAAATACTAATTCCAAATCTATGTAGAATATTTAAGGCCTGCATAGCTATGCGATACATACCTAGTGAGTGGCAGAAGGGAAGAGTCATTTATATACCCAAGGTAGGGAGACTGAATGACATGACGCCCAAGTCATACCGTCCAATCTGTCTAGTGTCCTTCCTGCTCAAAACTTTAGAAAGACTAATAGACAGATACATCAGAGATGAGGTTTTATTAACAAACCCCCTCAACGAGCGACAATACGCGTATCAGCCGGGCAAGTCGACAGACTTGGCACTGGATGATCTAAACAGGCTACTAACAAAATCCTTGGAGGACAAAGAGATAGCAATGGCGACATTCGTAGACATTGAGGGTGCTTTCAATAATGCATCTACAAAGTCAATCACCAAAGCTCTAGAAAAGAAAGGGGTTCCATCCCTCCTGTGTCGATGGATAAACGCCAGCTTGGAAAAAAGGGTAATTATATCATCCATTGGCGAAACCACAGTCACAGCTAGAACAGGTAGGGGCTGTCCGCAAGGAGGGGTGTTATCACCTCTCCTATGGGCTATCCTAGTAGACGAATTACTGAAGAGGCTAACATCCAAAGGTATGCATTGCTTAGGGTACGCCGACGATGTTGCGATTATTGCAAAAGGCAAATTCGCAGGAACAGTCTCGGAACATACCCAAACTGCTCTAAACATAATTAACAAGTGGTGTCAAGAGGAGGAACTAACTGTGAACCCTCTTAAAACCACGATAGTGGTTTTTACTAAGAAGAAAGTACTGAGAGGGCTGAAGCCACCAGTTCTTAACGGGGTAGAAATTCCAATTGCACAAGAGGTAAAATACTTGGGAGTCATCTTCGACCACAAGCTGACATGGAATCAACACCTACAGAAAATAATCCAGAAAAGTACGATAGCCCTCAACCTGTGCAGAAGAATGTGCGGGAAAAACTGGGGGTTAAAACCAAAAATGATCATATGGCTATATACCAGGGTTATTAGACCAATGATAGCATATGGTTCGGTGGTATGGTGGCCAAAGACTCGGCAGGCTGGGGCGACCAAAAGGCTAAGTGGCATTCAAAGGCAAGCCTGCCTGGCAGCCACGGGAGCTATGAGGACAACCCCAACAGCCGCCTTAGAAGTCTTGCTGAACCTACCGCCACTTCACGTCTACATACAAGGCGAAGCCAGGTCAGTCACCAATAGATTGACCAGAGGGCAAACGCCCATAAGCAGACTGCACGGTAAGATGTACAACGAACTATACAAAGAGTTGGAAACCGACCCGATAATGGGAATGCCATCGGACGAGATGCTTCCCAAGTATAGCTTCGGTAAACAATTTAAGACTGTTATAACAGACAGAGAGGCATGGAAGGGAGGTCCTCCAATTGATGCAGAAATGGCCTCTGTTATACAGACGGCTCAAAAACCGATGAAGGTGTAGGAGCAGGCATATATATAGCCAAGCCAATGACAAGAGTCTCACTGAGCTTAGGTAAACACGTGACGATATTCCAGGCAGAAGTTGCAGCAATACATCAGTGTGCAGGAGAGTTAATAAGGCAAGAGTTTAAGGAAAAGACCATCGCCATTTACTCCGACAGCCAAGCGGCTATAAAAGCAATCAGCTCCATGCAGATCAATTCCAAACTCGTCTGGGACTGCTTGGAAA